TGCTTTATCCAGAGTAACTAATCCAAAAGGATTATATATATTACTTAATGATTTAAACAACAATTATCCTAATCATATAAAAAATATTGTCTACAAAGAAATCCTACATAACATCACATAAATAAATACATAAAAAATATATACTATCTTATATTCTTTATAATATTAAATTTTTTTTAGTATAACATTTTTAACAATAAACTCAATAAAAATATTTATCATTATAACAACATCTTATTTGGCTTTTTCAGGATTTACAGAAAATGACAACACCTATTCATGCATTAAAACCAAATGAAGTGTATGAAACAATACAAGCACGAGTATGCAGAATATGGACAAACAACTATTTTGTCACAGGACGTCTAATAAGCCTTGACTATATTCTGGTTGATGAAGAAGTACTAAAATTTTAAAATATTATATTACATATTATTTTATATAACGTTTGTTAATATTGAATAAATTTTTATCTTTATTATTTATTTACAGCATGAAGCAATACAGGGAACAATTTGAGCACATGATTCGGACTATATTTCTCAAAAAATTGAACAAGATAATATATACAATATTAGTAACTTTTATGTTACTGAAAATAAACCAACATATAAAGTCGTTCCACACAGTGCTATGATCCAATTTGCACGAGCAACATCCTTTACTCTAATTATGGAAGACACACCATATATCCCATTTCACAAATTCTACTTCATAGAATTCGATCAGCTATATCAAAGAATAAATAATACTGAGATATTAACAGGTAATATATGTTACTTAACTTATTTTATTATTATTATAAATATTTCTTGAATATTTATTTACAAAATTTCCCTGTTTATATATAATATTAGATCTTTTTGGTGTATTAACAAGTGTCCAAAGCACTCGAACGTACACATGTCAGTACCAGACCAACAACACGGCGATCTATAATGATACAAAATATCAGGTACAATAAATTTATGCATTTTTCCTCACATTTACTATTCATTACAACTATTTAACGTGAATACAATATTTTTCCACTTTTATGATTCAATTTTATTAATCATTTTTATGAACTACATTTTTTCAACAGAAATGAACAACTACAGGTAAGCTTATGGGGACATAAAGCCGATCAATTTGATGAGAATGTACTTAAAACACTTAAGGCACCAGTTGTGACAGTTTTCTCAGCAATGTTGACGAAGCAATATCTAGGTATTTTTAACATTACTTTATTATAACATTTTTATATACATATATAAAAAATATAGCATACATTTATTATTTACTCTATTATATTTCTAGGTAACTCATATATTTCGAGTACATCAGCAACAATTTTCTATATTGACCCAGACATCCCAAAAACAACAACGTTAAAGACAAGGTAAACACACATATATATATATATATAATATTCTAATAAATTTATCATATTACATAATCATAAATTTTATTTATATTTTTCTTAACTTATTCATATTTTTATACATATAGATTTTTCCATCAAAATCAACAAATTGAATTCCTACCACCGCTACCACCGCCAAAAACACTTATCCAAACAATTGAAGAACAAATATCAGCAAACAGAAGAACAATAAACGAACTCAAAACATTGGATGCACAAAATAATCTGGTTAGTACTATTAACTTTCCTATTATTTTTTTACTACACTTAGTAAAAAATTTAAAACCACAATATTCTACTTTTTATGCAGGGTGGAAAATTCACTATAAGAGCAACCATAGTAAACTTTTCAACATCTCAAAGATGGTTCTACAATTCTTGCCCCAAGTGTTATCGACAACTAAAACAGGCAAGAATAGGTTGGTGGTGCGACAGTCATGGCCACATAAAGTCAACACCATCTCCATGGTAATTAAATTTATTACCAAATCATTTTTATTTATTATATATCTTTATTTACTTTAACGAGAAATTAATAACATTAAAAAAATATTTATATATATATTTTACAGGTATAGATTGATAATCCAAATTGAAGATCATACTGGAGACATGGAAGTTATCGCTTTTGGCAGAACCGCTCAGGCATTAATAAAAAAACCATGTTCTGCACTAACAATTGACGAAGGCTTTACCGGTCTATTTATAATACCACCAGCTATTGATCAGATCCGAGGACAATAAAAAATCTTCCAAGTCTTCTTTCAACAACGAGGCACCCAAATGAGCACATTAATTTTCAAAATATTTGAAGACATCCATGTTCCATCGTCACCACCAAAACAGTTAACTGCAGGAACAGAAGATCCACAAAGGTACATAATATTTTTTAAATTTTTTATCAACTATACATAAAAAATATTTATATTATATTGATCACAATTTTAAAAATCTTCTCATTTTTTAGCCCACAAGTAATACCATCATCACAGCTATCAACACCAACCACATTTGATCCACACACTCCAACACCTAAAAAACCTGGTACAAGGTAAGCCACATTCAACACAACAAATATTATCAACTAATTTAAAAACATATCTACAATATTTCATTTTTTCAGCCCTAAATCAAGAACAACAAGACAATCTGCAAAACGTCCAAAAACAAGGTAATATAAATATTTATTTCATACTATATAATTTAACCGTCTTTATTTTTCTTAACACTTATATTTACAACCAATTTTCCCATTTTCATATTTGCAGCGGAAAGAAATGAAATGCTCAAGAACCACAGCAGCGTTGTTTTTTATTTTGTACAATCTGTATATATATATATTATAAATAATAGTACTATATATATATATCTGTATAAATATGTTTGTACAAATTTTATATCTATCATATAATACAATACTGTATAATACATGTATATATATATGTATTTTAAATACAACTATCATATAATACAATATTGTATTCCGCAGTAACGCGCGGAATACATGCTCGTGTAGTCTATATTCGCCGTTTCTTTTTTCTTTTTTTGTTGAAAAATTGTATTGGAATTGTTTTCAATGGGGGATAAGCTAGATTTCAACTACAGAAAGATTAATTGAATTTAAGCACTTGTATGACGAGCTAGGTTCATCCAGAATATAATCATAAAATGCAATTACAATATATGATTTTATATAGGATACAAGTTTTTGTTCCCCTTGATTAATTGACATTTCTTAATTAATTTTGCTTTAATTGTTCAACACGTGCTTTCCTGGCACCATAAAACTCGACAAGAAAAAAAGTTGCGTGACATAATTAATCAATATCTACACATTATTCCTGCACACGTACATCTAGAATTATTCTTCTTTTCTGCAAATAGAAAGATAATAAATTTTGGTTTTTTTTAGAGAGGTATATTTTGCTCATATTGCCTTATTGGTTTGTGCAACATTAATAGTTTAACTGTCAAAGCCTGGATCGTTTTCTAAGATTGGAGAAACAATTTTGTTGTCATGAATCAATCATATATCCTTATCTCTTCGAATGGTGCAAAGGTGGTCGGTATTGCTATCAACTGGTGATAATGCTTGTTACTATGTTTAAATGAGGTAGCGATGACGGAAAAGATTGAAGCAAATATAAGTTGAGTAGTTAGTCCATTTAGTTCGCTGCTTTGAATTTTTAATTTGAGTTGAGATGTAATTTTATGTGAGAGTTTTTTACTGTAGCAAAAAGTTAGATGTGATTGTTTGTGAGAGTTTTTTACTGTAACAAAACTAAAATTCTAAACCCGAATCAGCAAAATGAACGGGGCTAAAACCAAAGCATTATTATTTCACCTACTCACAATAAGTTTCATATTTCGCTCCTTAAAAAAAAAAAAAATAGTGGAAAACATATAACAAAAGCACAATCAAAAAATATGATGTGCCCTGTGTTCAAGTAATTCTAAATAAATAAATAAAAATATGATTCTAAATCGGGCATATAAGTAACAATTTTGACATGCAAGGCTTCAAATGGTAGGAAAAACGTGTGCTGATGTATGAAACCAAACACCTAAATAAATACATTAAGGATAAGTACACACACTCTCTTTAATAAATCATTTACAATTGATAAAAAAATCTTATTGGTCTCGATCGAGAAATCCATAGCTCGAAAGCCGCACAAAAAATTACAAAAAAAATATTTTAAACATAGTTAGAGCACAACATAACACTAGAAAACGAAACAAACTCATAAAAAAACTCTCAATGCCATTGTCAAAGCCTTGTAAAATGAGATGACCAATAAACGAGCCATTAAAAAAGGTAGTAGAACCCAAGAAACACAACCATCGACCACCAAACTCTAACCCAACTTTGATCCGTCCCAACAAAGCTCCATGTCGTACACTACCACCACCACCAAAAAGTCCACAAACAGAAGTTCAGAGACCAAATTTTGAAGTTCGGAGCCTGATGACACACCTAAAACAACCCCACAATTCCGACCAACACTTTCTCCTAAATCCTTTCTACTATTTTATCTTTGTCTAAAATCTTTAATAAGAGAAAACACTACGGGCAATGCAATTTTTGAAAGTTAGGTGAATCACAACAACTATTTAGAATATGAAAGATACGTTAACCAAAGTAAAAGAGAAATGAAAATTAAATATTTTCTATCTAAGATGGCTCTTTTTGTAAAAATTTTAATTTATTACATTAATTTGTAATTTTTTAATTAAAATTTAAAGATCCATCCTTAAATTTAAGGTTAGAAACTAATATTATAATAGAGATTAAATTGTAAACAATTTAAGTAAAAAAATTAGTAAGTGTTTTTGGTAGACCATACTATCAATATAATTAATTTTTTAACTGTTAGATCTAATTAAAATTAAATGAGATTAAAAAAATATACATAATAAATAATTTCTTATGTAAATTTGACACTTAAAAATAACTGAAAAAATAAAATTATCAATAATTCTATTTTTCTGATCCGAAAAACTCTAAAAAAAAAAAATTAATGGAACAAAGATTTGGCTTCTTTACAAAGCATGAACAAGTATCTAAAAAATGAGAGAGAGAGAGCGAGGCTATTATTAGCGCGCACCCGCAGAACTTTCGCCCCATTTCTCTCACTCACTCTCTCTCCCTCTCTCTGTCTCTCTCTCAGAGCTCCAGCATCGCCGAACATCGCGCAATTGTTTCTCTGTCGTCTTCTCGCACGACCATCTACCACTCTCTCTCTCTCTCTCTCATATATACACACACACACATATATATATATATGCAGCAACTATAACAGTATGGAGCGGAGACGAACCGACAGCCCTGTTTATGCCCGCCAATGGACCAGCGAGTCCGGCACCACTATCCCCGCCTCACAGTCTTCTCCGGCAATGTCTCCGGCGCGTAACCGCCACGCTCGTTCCTCCTCCTCATCCGGCATCTCCAACATCAAGCGCACTCAGAACTTTGCCGCCAAGGCCGCCGCTCAGCGCCTCGCTCAGGTCATGGCCTCCCAGACCGCCGCCGACGAGGACGAGGACGAGGACGACGGCGACCTAGGGTTTCGGTACAGTGCTCCGCCGCCGCTCTCTCTTTCGAGGACCGTCAAAAGCGGCGCTACTAAACCTGCAGTTCCGTCTGCCAAGACCACTAGATCTCCTTCACCATCGGTAAAGTAAAGTTCACTAAGCTCTTGGATTTCAGTTTTAGCTGAGAATTGACTTCTTTAGTTAGCGGACTTGTGCTCAGAAATGAATTAACTGGACGACGTTTAGAGAGATCGGGTTTGAATTTGATGCTGAACAATGTGGATTGATGATCTGGTTTTTAGCTTCCGTCTTGGAGTGCATTGCATTGCCTATGCTTAGTGAAGTTCACTAAGCTCCGGATTCCGGTTCTGACTGAGAATTCACTTTTTTACTTAGTAGAATCAGCATTTAGAGAGATCTGTTTTGAATTTGATGCAAATCAATTTAAACTAACGATCTATGCATTTGCCTACTTTGTTTAGCTAGAGTACGGTGTTGGAAGATTTATAGTGGAGATTCCTAATTTGAATTTCTTCTATTCTTAGGGAATGTTAGATCAGGTCTTGATTTATAATTTTACTAAAAGTAACAAAGCTGATATTTTTTTTATAATTATTTTTTGGTAAGTTTATGCTAGTTGGATTGTTACTATCTATGAATATGCAGTAATTAATGGTTATGGTGGAAGAAGTTGGAGCTTGAAATTAGAAAGCTAACTGGATTCTCTCCTATTTAATTAGTTGGCTCAGAACTTTGTAGAGGAAACACCGTCTGCCCGCTCCACATCGACTGGAAGGCCGTCAATTCGTCCTGCACCATTGGCACCACCGAATAAAACAACTCTAAGGACTGCGGTTTCTATGCCACCCACGGAAACTCCTGTCAACAACTGGCAAAAAGATTATAGGTAAGCAGTCTTTTTGCATGAAATGCACCGCTCAATAAAGCTTACACATTATTTTGGAATTTGGAAGAACTATCCTAAGATTTCGAGTTACTGAAAACTTCTTAAAGACTAAACTTACTTCTTGGGGTGTTTCAAGTCTCCAACAGTTGGTCTACAGATTCCATATTATCGATAATTACCATACTTTTACTTATTCATTTATAAACAGACACCAATTCTAGAATCTAAATTGTCTTGGAAGCCGAGTTAAATGAACGCTTGCATATTTTTACTTTATTGGTGTGACTACAGTTGAGCCTGTCCTCATATTTTTAAACTGCAGATTCTTGTCAGAAACGGGACTATACAAGTCAAAGGATTCAGGAGATCAAAATGAGGCTTCTGCGCTTCGTGATGAAGTATGTACTACAATATCATTTTATTTTCTGCTTCATTCCAATAGAAATGAAGGGATATACATTTTGTTTTCCTTAAAGATGACGCTGAGATTAACTGTTGACCTTGCAGCTTGATATGCTACAAGAAGAGAATGAAAATATTCTTGACAAGGTGCATGATTTTCTTTGTTATTTCTCAGCGAAGTTGCTTTAAATTTCTAATCTAATATATTCTGGAACTTGTTATACAGCTCAGACATGAGGAAGAGAGGCATGAGGTGGCAGAGGCCAGAGTTAGGGAACTTGAAAAACAGGTACCTGCATATTTTTTTAAAATAAAAAAATTAAGTTCATGGTATTTTATACTTCTTTGGTAACTTATTTTACAAAAAATCCATGTGTGAAGACGTAAGAAATGCTTCAAAAGCAACTTGAGAATCTTTCTATTTTCTTGCTTCATCAGGTTGCTGCTCTTGGGGAAGGTGTGTCCTTGGAAGCTAAACTTTTGAGCAGGTGAGTAGAAGACTTTACTTAAAACGACCTTTGTGTGTCCTCTTCTTTCTCCTTGTGAACCTGCGTTCACCTCTGCCACTTGCTTTGCAGAAAGGAAGCTGCATTACGTCAAAGAGAGGTAACCTGAAACTTGACGTGTAGTTTTTTTATGAACGTGTAAAATAGTTTCCTTGTATTTCATCCCCCCACCCTACAACTGTGTGCTAGGATTTATGTCATTTGCCGGTTTACTTGAAATTGGAGTTTTTGGAGTATGAACGTTGTGGTTTTCATAGGCTGCACTGAAGGATGCAAAACAGTCAAAGGGTGTGGTAGATAAGGAAATTGTGTCCCTGCGTTCAGAAGTTGCGGTAAGTCTGCTACCATTTCTCCTTTGTGCCTTTATCCAGGCAGTGAAATTAAGTAGTAAAGTGATAGCTATCCATTAACATTTTAAAGCATTGTTTTAAATCAGTCTTAAATTATGCTGTATTTGCTTTTTATATCTTGCTTCTAGAAACTTTTAAGGCATTATTTCAACTCAATAAAATCTGATTCAGTCTTGTAAAATGTTTATCTGATTATTGGGAGTGAATGTAATTATTATGCTGTATCAACATCAACATGGATAAGTTAGAGAAGCACCACGTAACAGGAATAAATTTATGATGTAAAAAGGGTGGGTTTCCTAAATTTAAAAAATTCTCTTTTTTGAAAAAGGATTCAAAGTCTACCGTTAAAGTTTTATCTTTTGTTTCTTGTTTGTATCAGAATGCAAAAGATGCAGCTGCAACAATTGTACAACAGCTTCAAGGAGCTGAATCTGAAGTTAAAGCTCTTCGATCAATGACGCAAAGAATGATATTGACACAGAAAGAGATGGTTTGTATTAACGTGGTTGCATTTGATGGAGCCTTAACATTCACGTGGGTATTAATTATCATGTATTTCAACATTTCAGGAAGAAGTAGTTCTCAAGAGGTGCTGGCTTGCTCGTTACTGGGGCTTAGCTGCAAAACATGGTAAGCTATTGGCGTATTGTAATCTAATTTGTCACATAATCTCGTTACACTTTTCAGTATCTCTGTCGTATATTTTTGTTTGCCATTTTTGGCTCATGAGATATAGTTATAAAGAGATTTAAACCTCTGTAATTACCTTCCAGGTATTACTTTTAAACATTATGTTATCCTGACTGTTAAGTATGCCCCTGTCAATGGGTTTGGTTAAGTACATTGTTTACCGCTCACGATCACATCCAGCTCATCATCTATACATAATTTCTTCTTTGCTTTATAGGTATCTGTCCAGATATTGCAGTGACAAAGTATGAACATTGGTCCTCATTAGCACCTCTTCCATTTGAGGTTGTTGTTTCTGCGGGACAAAAGGCTAAGGAGGAATGTCGGGAAAAAGGTGAGTAGTTATCATTTTGTCTTTGTTGTGGATATATCTCTGCTATGTTTTTGCCTAAAGTGACTGGTATAGCTCCTTGAAATTGTATTTGCCTTTATTACTTTGTTGAGCAGGTGATGCTGATACAGAGAAGAGAAGTAAACTTGTTCAGGACTTGAATGACCTAACTGGAGAAGGAAATATCGAGAGCATGCTTTCCGTTGAAATGGGACTAAAAGAGCTTGCTTCCCTGAAGGTTCTGTTCTAAACACTAACTTAGCACCTATCTTAAGTGCATCTGATATATTGTTTCTTTATCAGTAAGGTGTTGTGTGGTTTCTTATACCTAGAAACAAATGTTATGCTTGCATCTTGAAGGTTGAGGATGCTATAGTGCTTGCATTCCCCCAGCAGCGGCGTCCAAATTCTGCTCGCCTATCCATTGCAGGTGTGCTTTGTTTCACTTGGAGCCAAGCAATTTATGCAGACATGAAATTAGTTTTTGAATACGACCTGTTCCCTTTATGGACTCTACTTGTACAATTAGTTTTGCAAGTCTCTTTAATCATTTGTCTGTATATTGTTAGGTTCCTGCTCAGTTTGGCATTCCAACAGTAGAAAAGCATAGAAAAATTGCTTGAAAACGGGTCAAGATCCTTTTATTAATCTCACTAACATGTCTCCCGAGAGATGGATTCCATTCTCAGGGAGGAACAAGAAAATAGAAGAAACAATAACAAATGGGGAATGCCCCTGCCTCCAATGGTCTGCTAACAGAAATGGCTCAATTCCCAGACACCTCTCCCACTCTTACTCTATTGTCTAAATACCTCTTTGCTAATAGACTCGTAACTGACTTGACACATCAGCACCTATTTTTCATTTTTCCACTTCCCTCCCCTGATTTCCCCCTACGGCCCCATGTCCTATTTTCCTCTTCATCCCAAGCTCGTAATATATGGTCTTCCAAGTTCCAGGGATTTCTCTCTCTCTCTCTCTCTCTCTCTCTCTCTCTCTCTCTCTCTCTCACAACCTTGTCCTCAAGGTTGAAAGAGGGAAACTGGAGACGGATGGCAGCAACGGGTTCCTAAGTGGATTCCCAATCCAGCGGGCCCTGCCACTTAATAAGCACCTTTGGTTCCTCGCAACCCCCCACCAGCACCACCCAAGAAGCCAACACATCCGTTGGATGGACACAGAGTTCCAGGTCTTCCGACAACTGAGCGGGAAGAGGTTGGACCTTAGTTGCAGCTCCCTTAAAGGGCTTTAGTTGAGACACGTGGAAGACCGGATGTATGCGAGCATCATCAGGCAGCCTCAAGCGATATGCCACTAGTCCAATGCGGTTCACTACTTCGAATGGCCCATAGAAGTGCGGATTGAGTTTCTCATTGACGCGGTGGGCAAGAGATTTCAGCCGGTGGGCCGCATTTTGAGCAGTACCATCTCGCCTACCTCGAAGCTTAACTCCCTCCGATGATTATTGGCGAATTTCTTCATGCAATGTTGAGCCAATGAGAGGTGGGATTTCAGCAGATCAAGCATGGCATTGCACAGGGCGAGCTGTTCTTCCACCGCAGCTACCGTGCCTGGAGAGTCTTGGAAACGATAGAGAGCCGGAGGATCACGACCATACACAATGCGGAAGGGGGTGAACTTGGTGGAAGCATTGAAGGTGGTGTTGAACCAATATTCCACCCACGGAAGGAAAGCTGACCACTGCCTAGGCTTATCACCTACGAAACAGCGCAAATATGTTTCTAAGAAACGGTTTACTACCTCAGTTTGCCCATCAGATTCCGGGTGGTAGGCCGAACTAGTGTGCAACTTAGTGCCATATAATTGGAAGAGCTCACGCCAAAACTCGCTCATGAACACGGTGTCCCGATCACTCACAATAGACCGCGAAATGCCGTGGAGCCGGACGATGCATGAAACGAACAAGGCGGCCACCTGCTTGGCAGAAAATGGATGGCCCAAGGGACAAAAGTGTGCAAACTTCGACGAGCGATCCACCACCACTAATATGGTGTCAAAGCCCCCAGACTTGGGAAGACCCCCAACAAAATCCATGGAAACGTCGTCCCAAACTTGGGATGGAATAGGAAGGGGCTGCAAGAGGCCGGCTGGAGACAATGCCTCTGTCTTATTTTTTTGGCATGTCTCACAATTAGCCACAATCTCGAATATAGCGCTTCATACCCCGGCAAAAAACTACTGCAGACAGGCGTTTGTAGGTGCGGACAAAGCTTGAATGCCCCCCAATCACCGAGTCATGAAACGCATGGACTAGCTGGGCTATCCAAGGAGAACTATTGACCAAAACCAGCCTATCTTTGTAAAACAGTAGTCCATTCTTTAGTGAATACCCTTCATGACCTCCCTTTTTTTTGAGTTTTGAGATGATGGCAACTTAGACCAATTCCATACATTGCTCCAACTGGATGGCAGCAAAATCTCACGTTTGTGGTATAGTAAAAGCAGCGAGGGAAACTCAGCCCAGTCTCCCCGGCAGGACAGTGCATTGGCTACCCGATTGGAGGCCCCTAACTTGTACTGCACCTCAAAATCGTAACCCAACAATTTGTACACCCAACGTAGCTGCTCGGGAGGAAGTTGGCGTTGATTCATCAGGAAGCGCAAGCTTTGTTGGTCAGTGCAGACCACAAAGTGATGGCCCAAAAGATAATGCCTCCATTTCTGGATCGCTAGAACCACACCCATAAGTTCCTGTTCATAAACAGACTTCAAACGGGAAGGAGGGGCGAGAGCTTTATTGAAAAAAGCGATGGGTCTGTCCTCTTGCATCAACACTGCCCCCAACCCACTCCCCGAAGCGCCAGTCTCGACAACAAACTGTTTTGAGAAATCTGGCATAGCCAAAACCAGAATTCTAGTCATGGCCAACTTGAGCTCTTCAAATGCGCGGCATGCTTCCTCCGTCCACACAAATCTACTCTTCTTAAGCAGCTCCGTTAGCGGCCTTGCAATAGCCCCATAGCCCCTAACAAACTGCATGTAATAACCGGTGAGCCCCAAGAATCCTTGCACCTCCCGGGCGTTGCTCAATGGTGGCCATTAGGTAATTGCTTGAATTTTTGAAGGGTCGGCAGCCACTCCATGAGCTGAAATGATATGGCTCAGGAATTCTAATTGTAGCTGGCCGAAACAGCACTTCTTTTTATTGGCAAATAACCGCTTGCGCTGCAAAACCTAAAGAACGGTGGAGAGGTGCTGGCGATGCTCCTCCCATGAGCGACTGTACACCAATATGTCGTCGAAGAATACCAAGACAAACTTCCGAAGATATTGACGGAAGATTCGATTCATGAGGGCTTGGAAGGTGGCCGGAGCATTCGTCAAGCTGAAGGACATGATGAGGAACTCATAGTTGCCCTCATGCATTCGAAAAGTCGTCTTCTCAATGTCGGCCTCATGCACCCGGATTTGGTGGTACCCTGCCCGCAAGTCCAATTTTGAAAACACCATTGCTCCATGGAGTTCGTCAACCAATTCGTTGATCATTGGAATAGGAAACTTGTCAGGGATCGTTACTTGGTTAAGCGCACGATAGTCCACACAGAAACGCCAACTTTCGTCTTTCTTCTTGACCAAGAGGACCAGACTGGAGTATGGGCTGCTACTTGGCCGTATGATCCCGAAAGTCAACATATCGGACACCAATTGTTCTCTCTCTCCTTTTTGAATTTGCGGAAATCGGTATGGACGCACGTTGGGCGGATCGACGCCCTCCTTCAAAATAATCCTGTGATCCCGTCCCCGGTGTGGTGGCAGCCCCGTGGGGTTATCAAACACCCCCTCGAAATTGTCCACCACAGTCCGCACCTCCCCCGGAACCTTTGTGTTCTCCTTATCCGACTGCTGCACCGATAGCTCACACACATCCACCAATACCCCAGCTTCGGCCGGCGACAATGTCCGGACTAAGGAACTCATCTTTACCGGTGCATAACACAAACTTGGGTCACCTCGCCTAACCACCCAAGTTGGCCCTGCTCGGAATTTCATTAGGAGCTTAGACCAATCCGCCCGTACCTCGCCAAGGGTGCTGAGCCACGACACCCCTAAGACCAAATCAACCCCACCCAATTCGAAGGAAAAAAAGTCCACCACCAAGTGACCTTGGATCCATACATTAACTTCTCTACAAATACCCGATTGCTTAACGCTCAACCCATTGCCCACCAAAATATTGTGGCTTATCGTGGAATCCGTTGGCAAGTGCAACTCGCCCACCACCTTTTCTGAGATGAAGTTGTGGGTGGCGCCGTGGTCCACCAGCACCACGAAGTTCAAGGACAATCCATCTTGGCGTTCGAAACCTCCTTCCCTTTGTCCTCCACCGCGGCCATCCTCACTGTCCTCCCCCGATTCTTCCCCTTCATCCCCCAAAATGAGAACCTGTAACTGCCGGTTCTTGCAACGATGTCCCGGGTTGAACTTCTCGTCGCATTTGAAGCAGAGTCTCCGGCCCTCCGATGTTGCATCTCCTCCTCAGTGAGCCGCCGGTACGCCGCCGCGTCGCTGGAAGGGGAATTCGACCCTAGGCGAGCCCCCTGACCTAACGCTGCCTCATTCTGAGGTTTGGATCGAAGGGGGCCCTCAGGTGGAAAGGAGCCCGAGTTTGGACCTTCAGAGGCTCCCCCGAAGCGCACCCAATAGTCAGATCTGGGCCCTCGGCCGACTCTGTTCCTTCTAACCCGATATGCAGCCTCATTGCAGGCCTCCACTTGTTGGGCCAGAACCATCATCTCATGCAAGCCATTGGGCCGATGCATCTTTAATTCGGCCCGGATATCCTCCTTAAGCCCATGAAGGAAAGCCCCCTTGAAAATGGCTTCGTGCATCTGTGCCGCCGTTATTTCAAACTCGTCCCCATAGTCCGCCACCGAAGTCCGCTGCCTGAGAGCCATCAGTTGCTCCACCGGATCGACCTCCCTGGCACGACCGAAATGCCGCAGCACCACCGCGCGGAGTTCACGCCAAGATCTGAACGGATCTTGCGCGTCTACCCACTGGAACCAACCCAAAGCTCTACCCTCCATGCATACCAAAGCTACCACCACCTTCTCTTCCTCCTCCACGTCGTTCAAGGCAAAGTACCGATCGGCCCTAAACTCCCATCCTTGGGGGTCATCTCCATGGAACAAGGGCATCTCTAGCCTCCTTCCCTGGTGTTCTGCTCGTCCTCTCGGAAGCGGTGGCGTCTCCTGCCGATATTCCCACTCGTGTCGCCGGGGTTCTTCGTTGTGAGGAGGCGGAGGTGGCAACACTGGCCGACCGTTCAGAGCCAGCCGACGAAGGTCGGGAAATCGCTGAGGACCAGAGTCGAACCGGGGTGGAGGTTGTGGGTTTCGCTGGAGAAATTCCGCCTGCCGGAGCAAAAGATTCTCCAGCCGGCGCACTGATCCTTGAACTTCACCCATCTGGACGCCAATATCGGTCACGTCTTCTTAGAGTTTAGGGAAAGGCTCCTTCATAGCTTCCACGATCTGCCGCGCCTCGTAAAACTTATCCAACCTTTGTTCGAGCCGAGACAACTCTTCTGCCGGAAGCCGTTCAACCGCTCTGATACCAAAATGTTAGGTTCTTGCTCAGTTTGGTATTCCAACAGTAGAAAAACGGAGAAGAATTGCTTGAAAACGGGTCAAGTTCCTTTTATTAATCTCACTAACAAGTCTCCCGAGAGATGGATTCCATTCTCAGGGAGGAACAAGAAGAAAATAGAAGAAAGAATAACAAATGGGGAATTCGAGGTTCCCCTGCCTCCAATGGTCTGCTAACAGAAATGGCTCAATTCCCAAACACCTCTCTCACTCCTACTCTACTGTCTAAATACCTCTTTGCTAACAGACTCGTAACTGACTTGACACATTAGCACCCATTTTCCATATTTCCACTTCTCTCCCCTGTTTCTTGCGATTTCCCCCTACGGCCCCTCTTCCTAGAATAGACTAACGTAATAGGAGGCCTAGCATATACTGATAACGATAATAGAAATCTTCTATGGCCATGTATGTCAACAATGTTAAAAAGAAGGGTTTAAACAAAATAAGGAAGTACGGGATTGTTTACCAATTTGTTAAAAATTAATTTTCTGTGATTATATAAGTCATGTCTGAAGTTTTCCTTGATGCTTTGCTTTTTATAATTGTGCTGACGAATATTTCAAAAAAAAAAAAAAAAATTGTGATGTATTCAGATTTCAAATCACCTGGTGATCCAAAGTTTATGGAGGCATTTGGTAAGTCACTATAAATTCTCTTACTGAATTTTGCTTCAGAATCCGCTTTATGATATGTTGCAGAAGAAAGTTACACTTATCATCTACTTATTGCTACTTGGAGTCCAAGTGATTGCCATGCTAACCACTAATATGATTTTTTCAGCAAAAAAGACTACTAGTTTGAATCTTGATACTGATACTGTTTTATTGTAGAGTTGAGCCCGGAGGAGTCTGAGGATGTTCTTTTCAAGGAGGTGTGTTGTTTCTTTTACAATAACTGCATTTGGGTCTTATTCATCTTTTACGTACTTCAAAAATTTGTTTACCATTGATTAGCATCCTTAATGCAATTAGTGTCGTAGTTCTTTTGCAACCCACTTGAACTATCTTGATCCTCAGTATTTTTAATTATGATTCCATTGACCGTAGGATCTGGTTAAACATATGAAATTCACGACGTTATTCTGTAAATTTTTTATGATGTTCACAGAGCATGTGCTGAAGGCAATGGAAGACCATAGGCACATGATTTACTAACCTGTTCTAGTTTTCCGTCTACCTTGCTAGATTCTCTTTACACCGTTTGTTAATACTGTTAAATCTAGATTAGTCTTTCTACCGTAGTTGCCATGCATAATTCTAGTAGTCTTCTCCTCTTACGCTTTGACTAATGGTTTTACATGGAATGGTCGGTACACCTTGATTGATCTTAACTTATCCATACATTCAAATCGCACAGGCGTGGCTTACTTATTTTTGGAGAAGAGCCCAAGTTAATGGACTAGAGGAAGACATTGCCAAGGAAAGGCTTCAGTTTTGGATAAACCGCAGTGCGCATTCACCTACCTCCCACGATGCTGTTGATGGTACTTAACACATTATTGTTCTTCAACACTCAATTTAACCCAAAAAAAAAAAAATCAAAAAATCGGTTACCATTTCAGTCTTTTCATTTTTAAGGAATTAACTTGTTCTATTTTTGCTTCTAGCATTGTGACTAGATGTCCTTTTATAAATAGCTGCGGTCTGGTGAAGATAGTATTATAAAATTGTATACTTGTCTTGATTTTTCTCAAATCAATGCATAATACTCAGATGTGGAGTATTTTCTTATTATTTGTAATTTTTGGGTGTTTTTGATCAGTTGAGCAAGGTTTGATGGAGCTAAGGAAATATGGAATCGAGCACAGACTGTGGGAAGCATCCCGCAAAGAAATAGACCACGAATCTTCCCCTTCTAATGCACGAAAATCTCCTGCCCACTGAAGAATGAAGAATCCTCACCGTCCATTCAATATTTTTGCTGTTTTTGCATTTTAATTAAATTTTTATTCCCTTTGTTTAAAGCCTTCTTATCTGGCTGGCGTGAGAGGACTAATTTGATGCTCCCTGAACCCTGATTCTCTCAAGAGCAGGGTATTTACTATTTACCTTTTCTTCCTTTTTTTTCTTCTCGATTGTACTTTATAAGAGGTGTATATTCCATACATAAGTTTACACGAACTAGAAAAGAACATAAAAAAAAAAGGTAAAATGTTCGTAAGAATTCAGTAGGAATACATTATGAATTATGTATATTATTTTGTTGGAAAATCACGTCTCACGAAAAAACGATACGTCGTCGGTACTCTAAACTTAATTATCGTTTTCTGAAACAATTGGCGTGCGCTTCATATCATATACACAAAAGACACGGCATTTATTTTATTTATTTATTTTTGCTTAGAAAGTTAATGACGTTTTATCGTCTAAAACATGTCGTTGTGATGTGGTTTAAATGGTAAAGATTGTCGTTTTAGCTGTTAAAGTCGTTTAACAAGATAAGGCGACATTTCGTTTGTCATCTGAGAGTTTCCTGTCATTGAAGAGTAGCGACATGTCGTTTTTATTTAGAGATTATTGTTGTTTAATTATGACACAACGTGCCGTCATTCAAAATGAACTTCATGTCAAGGACCGTCGATTCATATATAAAGCTTACTGCCTACTGGCATATATTTGGGGAAATGACTTGTTTTCTGTCTAAAATGTGTCGTCGCCTGTTCCAAACGACACATGACTTTTTGATGTATGCTGTTGTTTCCTTCAAGGATGCTGTTGTTTCCTTCAAGGACATGCCGTCTGAGTTCAAGACGACGTTTATTGAGAGTATGATGAAATTTTACTGTCGTTTGTAGCATAAACGATCTATCGTGTTCATAAAAATCCGACATGTTCTCCCTAGTTTCGAGTTTAATTTCATCTATACCACAATGACATACGCTTTCTCATCTGTGTCGTTTTTACATCTCAACAACATGTTTATGCAATGATAAATTTGCTGCCGTTCATGTTTAAAAACGATATTTCGTTGAGTAATTAAGCTTGTTGTATCCTAAGTAGAAACTAAAAGGCCGTCCATGTGATATGATAGTTAAATATTCATATTACATAACCTAATATAAACTTGTTATAATGAAATATATATATATATATATATATATATATATTGGTTGTGAGCAAATACATAATCACAAACGACTGGAGCAAAATCAAAATAACAAAGACAAAAAAGAGTAAAAACCAATTAAAGTTAAAAGGATGGAAGCTATATAACATGTAAAATACCTCTTAATAATAGAAACAAGGATAAAATTCATGTTGATATCTGATCTGACTCAACACCCACGTGCTGAAAAACACGGTATTTAGACTCCTGTCTTAGTTTCCTTCTGGTCGGTGTTCCGATATGCTTTTGCTCGGGGTGTATGCCTTGCATGGAAATGGAAGAGCAAATTTCCTGGGTGATAGAGACATCGGTACGGTGCCTGTCCAACACACTGCGATGCTCAAGTTAGCCGAGCTTGTGAGGAGCAATAAATGGTGTGACAGGAGTTGGATAGGAGAATTGTTCTTACCTCAATAAATGATCATGGAGTATTTATTGTTTGTTGTTGGGTCTAAGTATGGCCCACAAGGGTCTATTTCGAGCATAAGCCGAGGACACATAGACTTGCTCAATGCCATGTATTGGTGCCCTCCTCCCTCGTTTACTGAATGGGGCTGAAAGCTATGCCGAGCAAGTATCGAGTAGACAGGGAGCTGTTTAGCACCGGTTCATGGGTCGGATCCAACAATCCAAATGAATAAAGTAATTTTTAGATTATTGGTAAGGAATCTTTCATAATGGATAACTTGAAGTATTTGTTTAACGGGTTCAAAGTCCCCTCCCACACCCTCACGTTTTATATACCTTGTTTCATCACATAAAGAACTCCAAGTTGCTATCTGAATAACTAATATTTATGGAACTAAATTAATGGATACATCATACATGTATTTTATGGATCTAATATTTATTACGTCACGTTGTACTTATGTCCAGTAAGAGAGAGAGAGAGAGAGAGAGAGGATTATAATAAAATTTAGACATTGGGGTTTGTCATCTCTCAGATGGAAGTTTGTTAAATGGCAGTTGTTAGAAGGTTGGAATCTTTTTTCCTCTCTAAATTGGGCCTTCCCGCAGAACCCTTTTGTCTCTGTAATTGTGAGGTCTCATTCACGCTTGGCTATGGCACTAAGCACGCCCTGCAGGTTTTTGTTACGATAGCTGCTTACTTATCTACGACTAAAATACCAAAAGTATGGGCACAGAACAAGGGCTAAAATATAAACACATACAAAAAAATAAAAAAGTAAAATTTGTGTGCAGGATGGGCATGTGCACTCTACAATATTATTATAATACTAGCTTTGCCCCTTCTTTGGTGGGAAAACTCGGAAAAACAAAAGCAAAGAAAATATAAGAAAGAAAACATTTCTTTTGGTGAAAAGGTGCGCATGGGGAAAGAAGAGAAAGAAAGGCAGTGATATATACACACACACACATATATTCCAAAGGTTATTTTGACCCTAATTCCCTGATGTTATAACTTCTAGCTTTCTGTTGGTGACACATATATGACTTTGAAATTATGACAATTATACCTTTAAACCGGCCTATAAACACTGCTTCGCATTATTTTGTTTCTTCATCATCCACCATCTTATATTTAAAGTAAAGAGCATTCGTTTGAAAAGAAGGATAGATGAGGATATTCAAAGAGGATTACCCCTCCACTTAGTCCATATTATCCTATTATTTTTCCCATCCTAATTATTACTAGTGGGTTATGTTTTGGGTTGGTTTTTCTTCTAAATTAGTATAAATCCCTTACCCTTTTTTTTTTTTAATCTCCATTTTTCAAAGTTCCCTTCTGGAAGTTAGTTGAGACATGGACCACCTAAAAGACATAAAAAAGGTGGTAAAAGACTAGAGAAGGGTTTCCAAGATGAAAAATGCAATGCGGTTGAATGGAAGATAAGCTTTGCCTTTTCTTTTCTTTTCTTTTTTTTTTTCAATTATCTTTTTTTTTATAATCTTTTTTTTTTTCCTCGGCAAAATTGGTGGCATAACCGTGTTTGTAGCTAACCACGCATGAGTGGAAATGTTTTCTCCAACATGCTCAAGTGCAAATCATTTCACCCCTTGACCCCATCATCACTTTTCTGGAAGAAACTTGCATCTTTCTTCTTTAACAGTCCCATTGTTTTTTCCAAGCCTTCTCATTTGTCAGCTGGCACACGTAAAACCATATTTCTTATGCCTCTTGAGTAAATTGAGGGATTTCTTTAAAATAAAAAAAAAAGTAAATTGAGTGATAATATCATGGTAAGTGATAAGGTATTAAAAAAAAACATTCTTACTAATACTGTACAGTTTTAAAGCTTCAGATTTGTAATGAAAATTTTAACGAATTTTCACCAGACATCCCACCATGAAAGACTGGTATGAGCATAACCACGCAACGTCAACTTAGTTATAGGAACCTGAAATTTCCAGGACTCTTCAAGGGTAAAAGAGGCCCAATTCAATTATATAAATAAGTAAACATAAATTTAGCTTTGTTTTTGCTTGTCACATGCAAAATATATTTCCATCACAGCTCTTAATGGGGGGAGCATTCTAGCTGAAATGGAAATAAAAAGTTACATTATTCATATAAAAAGTCACTCAGCTTTTTCATAGCAAAGACCAAAAATATAATCACCAAAAAGGGCTCTTCAACAAATGTTTTTTTTTTTTTTTCAAAAGATAAAAACCTTGTTTCCACGTCAAAACTAGACACAAAAACTATTTTCCCAATTAAGGTGACCACAGGAACTATTTCTCCGCCCCATATTTTTCAGCACCTTTCCCAATTAAGGTGACCACAAAAAAACTTTTTCAGTTTCCCCACCTTCCAAAGTGACCCGAACCAAATGCTAACAAAGGTGTATTTTGTTTTGGCACACTATAATCCAAAATTTACTGGGGGATTAAGCAGTAATAGTTGGATAAGAAAGATAAATAGGATCTGAAGATTTGTGGGGGAATACTATATGTATCCATTTATAAGTATCTTTTCACTTTCCCCCATGTGTCTCGGGAAAAAAAAAAAAGAAAAAAACTTTAGCGACCATTCTAGCTGCAAAGACAAATTCAAGCGTGATGTAACATTAATATTTTGCTTGAATCAAACATGATATAACAAGACCATATTTTGTCCCACTTGGCAGCCTGATAAACTATACATTATACATACAATTGAAAAAAAAGGGAAAAAAAGGGCAGGATAAAAAAAAGTGATGGAATTTTTTTTTTTTTTGGTTTTTAGAAAATCAAAGGAAAAACATATTTGATAAATAGAAGGAACGTCATTAATTTTTTATATTGTTTTTAAGAGAAGGAAGAGTATTTTGTTTTGGTTGAGGAAGGATGGAAACAGTATTGTTGGGGTTATGGGGCCCCAACATTATTTTTTTATGCGTTCGTTAGAATAACCGTCGGGGGTTTAATAGCCCGATTTATTGGCACCAACGTGCAGACTGCAGCCCCCCATGTCCGCCCACCGTTTAGTGTGAAGCTTTGCTCTGCCATGAGATTTAAGAAAATAAAGTTGCGCCTTGGCTAACAGCTATGGTTGGTCTAGTGGTCAGTAGGGGTGTAAATCGGCCGGGTAGGGTAGGGTTGAGCCGAAAAATTGAGCCTACCCGATCAGTGCGGGAGAAGAAATTCTAGGCCGTGACACTCTCTTAAGTCTACAAACCTGTAACCTTTCGGGTGACCTCGGGTAGGGTCGGATTACTCGGGTTGGTGAAAACTAATTTTAATCTATGACTTCATCAATTTTAATCAATTTTTAGTCAATTAATTTGTTACAGAAGAAATCATTATCAAACAGAACATGTCTTTCCTTCAAGAAGGGGTCTAAATGCAAGCTGAACAATTAAAACACTCACTTTGAAATCAAACACTTCCAATATAAATAAAGAATGTCCTAATTCAACAACTATGGCATACAAGCATTTTTTACACAAACCGTGAATCCAAAACATAAATAAGTTAATAGTTTAAAAGCATAAAGTCCATAAACTTATGAAAGTAAGAATTTGAAGTGTTAGACATTGTTTTACCTACTTTGAACATGTTTGGCCGGGTAGGGTTACCTCGGGTTCATGTCACCCCACCCCGCGCCCCTACCCACGCAGTGCGGGTTAGGCATAATTAAAACTGAAAATTAAATAAAAATTTGAAAACTCGTGATTTCGAGTAGGGTCGGCTCGGCTCGGCCGGGTTCGTCGGGTTCGGGGTGATTTCTTACAGCCCTAGTGGTAAGCGCTTGATCCAAGGGCCAACAAGTATAACTATTTATTGAACAGTGACAAAATTTAACGAAAGGAAACTGCTTAAATATATAGTTACATTTTTAAGTTATAATGATTTGAGTGTAGATCTTGAGTTGAATTTGAGTTATGACTTAAGTTAAAGTTATAACTTAAGTTTGTGTTTGGTTGTGTATATTTGAGTTATGGTTTGAAATGAGAATCTTTTTGAGTTTGTGTTTAGTTGTGTCAAAACTTAAATTTGTATTTATATAGTATTTTAATAAAAACTTAATGATGATGAAAAATTTTAATAGGGTATATGGGTGAGGTTTTATTCGTCTATTCGTTGTGAACGTATAAAAAAAAGAATCATCTCAATCGGAATTAAAACGAAAAAATTATGACGTTTTTAATAATAGAGAAAATATTATTCATTAACTTGAGTTTGAATTTTACAAAAAAACATGAATTTAAATAAAATGCTAATTTTAGTCTAAATTTTTTTTGAGTTTAAGTGCAAACAAACAATACAATGAATTTGTTGTTCTGTGTCAATTTGGAGATAGTTCTTATTATTATTACACGATACAAACAAATTTAAGGTATTAATGATGTGCGACACCATAATTAATAAAAGATAAACTCATATTTTATTAGTATATAGTATTAAACATTACTACACGCGTAACATTGTTCTACGCCATATTGCCACAAGATAAACCAACCATATACAATCAACTTTATTTTACTTTAAAAATATATATATATCAACCTGACTTTAGATTCTATTCCCCTCTCTATAATAGAGTACCATGAATCACGCCAATTATCTCCAAATAGAAAATGACAAATACTAGTTGTTCCAGAAATTTATTCTTATTGCTGTATTTTAAGAAATAAAAAATAAAATCATAATAATTACCGTTACAGTTACCGTGGCTGAATTGGCTATGAAAGCATATATAGGAAAAATTGTAGGAACACCACACCGTAAGGGAAGTGGGTTTACTCCGTAGTCCTTACTGACATTGGCCCTAGCAAGTAATGATTCTGGGGTTTACTATTAAAAGCAATGATTTTGAGTTCTATTTATTTTTGCTCTTTTTCTGAACGAAAAAAAAAAAAGAAAAAAAGAACGTTTCCAGATACAATTTTTCCTTCAAGACATGATTACACTGACTGTGTTACACATCTATTTTCTGAATTCTGAGAAAGATAAAAAATAAATAAAAAAATAAAAAAAAAACCATCCTTTTAGTAAAGCTTTGTTTTTTGTTTTTTGTTTTTTTTTGTTTAAGTTACTTTTGTGATGGGGGTTTTCTGTTGAACAGAATTTAACAGTGTTTGAAATCACTGTTTTTAAAATCAGTAGATTTTATTGGGCCAAACATCTAGATGTAACACAACCAAAACAAATTAAAAAAAAAAAGTGCCTATTTGGGTGAATAAAACAAAGTCACAACTCTATGTGTTGATTTTTGCAGAAGGAAAGTCACAACTCACAGATTGCTGACGCCACATAACATAATAATGACATAAACAATTAACACACAAAACTGGCACAACCCAGTAACCCACAAAGAGAGACCCCAAACCAGACTGCAATGCATCAGCACCATAATGCTTTTCCACTTATTAGCAAAAAAAAAAAATCTCCTTAATCTTTGCTTTTTTATTTTTTATTTTTTGGTTGGTACATAATGTTTTTTTTTTGGCTGTGAACCGTAATGCTTTTCCACTTATTAGCAAATAATAATAATAATAATAAAACTCTTAATCTTTGCTTATTTATTTTTTGGTTGGTCCATAATGTTTTTTTTTTTTTTTTGTGCTGTAAACCATAATGCTTTAGTTGAAAATAAAAAAATATCCCCTCAAAAAAAAAAAAAAAACAAAAGAGGAAGAAAAAGAAAAAGAATAAATGATTGGGTGTTAAAATATCATATAATTATGCGTACGGTTAAAAGCGTAATACTCTATTAGTATTACGCGTTTTTCAATAAGTCAATTAAATTTTTATGAAATTGAATTTTCATTTCATCACATTTTTTTAAATTTATGTATTCTATCTAATTTAAATTTAAAATTTAAATTTTATTAGAGAAAAATATTTTAAAAAATAATTATATCCGCAATATGATTCTAATACCTATTCAATTAAAAAAATGCTTACTTTACAGCATAATTTCTTAAATAAATAAAAAGAAAGAAGGAAAAAAAGAGAAGAAAGCAAAGACATCTGTTTCAGGGTAAGTCTTTAAAAGGAGACAAAAGTTGCCAAGTAATACTGTAATAATAATAATTACAAAGAAAAAAAAAACAACAACAATAGCACTTCTCTCTCTATATAGTGCCACCCACTTAAAGAGACTTAGCAGCACTTTGTAGTTGTAGATCAATCTAACTTTCAAAACTTCTTCTTCTCTAGGCTATTTGCTCTTTTCTTTCTTTCTTTCTTTCTTTCCACTTTGTGGACAAAAAAACATGAAAACAACGGCTGCTTCTTCTTCTTCTTCTCTAACATGCCAAACAAAGATTGCAGTGGTCATTTTTCAGCTACTGCTGTGTTTTTCCGTTGAAGCTCATTCTCATTCTCGTTCTCACTCCCAGCGAGACAGAATCGTCCGGTTGCCGGGTCAACCCGGAGTCGGGTTTCAGCAGTATTCGGGTTATGTGACTCTTGATGCCAAGAAACAGAGAGCTCTCTTTTATTACTTTGCTGAAGCTGAAACTGACCCGCATTCCAAGCCTCTTGTTCTCTGGCTCAATGGAGGTCACCTCCTCAACTTTCTCTTTCTCTCTCATCTATATATATTCTTATATATATTTATATACTTATGTAACTGAGGTTTTAAAATGGAACTGATTTTTTTTTTTAATTTGTGGGGTTGCAGGGCCTGGGTGTTCATCATTGGGAGTTGGGGCATTTTCTGAGAATGGACCATTTAGGCCAAGTGGAGAAGTATTGGTCAAGAATGAATATAGCTGGAACAGAGGTTTAATCTCCAATTACAAATACTCTTTTGTCTTTCTCTATCTCTATTTAAGTTTTATTATTTCTTTGTTTTTTTTGTTCCAATTAATGATCTTTCTAACATATTTTGATTGATATATTATGCAGAGGCAAACATGTTGTATTTGGAATCTCCAGTAGGAGTTGGGTTCTCTTATTCAGCTAATTCCTCCTCTTATGAGACTATAAATGATAAAATCACAGGCATGTCTCAGCTGATTCTTCATTTTTCTTCCAGAATTCTCTGTTGAAGCCTTGCTGGAGAAGAATGGAACTTGAAGATAGAACTTTTAGGCATTTTTTTTTTAAAGTCCATAGATAAAACACGGTTCCTATACCCAAGATTCAAGTCAACTTTTTTATTCTTTTAGCCCCTTTCTCATTCTCTCTTTTTTTTTTTAAATTTGTTAATAAATAAATATTTTCAAGAAAGGTGTGTTTTATAGGAAAGTTCCGTTGGAGCTCTTTTAGGTTCTTTTCACACAAAAGGTCAAAGACAATATTTCATGATACCCATTTGCACCATAGTTTTCTTTTTCTCTTTCCATCTCTTTACAGTTTGCCATGTTCACTGCTGACTGTAGATGTTTTGTTTTGTTTTGGTTTTTTCCTTTCTGAATTGTCAAAAAGGTCACCTTTTTTTACAGCATATCTTTTAACTTCTGAAATCTTTCGTCCTTATCTGTATGTATAGCCAGAGACAACCTGGTTTTCTTGCAAAAATGGTTTACCAAGTTCCCACAATTCACAAACAGAAGTTTGTTCATTACCGGTGAAAGCTATGCAGGTTTCATTCATATCGTACAGTTTTTTTTTTTTTTTTTTGGACAAATATTACACTACTAGTAGAATAAAAATAGTAGAAAAAGAAATAGAAAATGAACTAATGTTTTGTATTTGTAACTAGGCCACTACGTCCCACAGTTGGCAGAGCTCATGCTCGAATTCAACAAGGAGGAGAAATTATTCAATTTAAAAGGCATTGCTGTGAGTAGTAAAATCATCTCACAATTTGGACTTTTTTTCCCCTCTTCTTCACTTGTCATTTTTCATTGTAGAAAAATTCTATTGATGCATAAAAGTTATTCTTTGATCGTTTCTCTTATGATGATATGATATTATTCAGCTAAGAATCAGTTTTTTTTGTCCCCCAATTTGCAGCTGGGCAATCCTGTCTTAGAATTTGCCACTGATTTCAATTCAAGGGCAGATTTCATTTGGTCTCATGGATTGATATCAGATTCAACATACAAAATGTTCACTTCTGTTTGCAACTACTCGCGTTATGTGAGCGAGTACTACAGAGGATCGGTTTCTTCAGTCTGTTCAAAGGTGATGAACCAAGTGAGCAAAGAAACCAGCAGATTTGTTGACAAGTATGATGTTACCCTTGATGTTTGCATATCTTCTGTGTTTGCACAATGCCAAGTCCTTAGTCCCCAGGTTAGTGTCTGGCTGTGTCTGATCACTAGCACTTAATCTACTTTGAAGATTGTTTTATCGAGACACGTGTAAGTCATCATGAATGAATTACTGCACGGATCTCGATAAAACTGAGTCATTCTGCTATGTGACAGTTTTAATGTATTGCTACTTATGCTATGATTGTGTCATCATTTTTTGTTCGTGCCACCTTTTTCTAATAGATTCTCACTTTGTTGTTTGGCAGCAAGTCGCTGAGACCATAGATGTCTGTGTGGAAGATGAAACTGTGAATTATCTTAATAGGCAAGATGTTCAGAAGGCTCTCCATGCTCGGCTTGTCGGAGTTCATCGATGGGCAGTTTGCAGCAAGTAAGCTTCTAACACTCTCCCTTACGTGTAGACTTGACACTGGACAATCTTGTGTACAGAGATTAATTAGACAAGCCCAATTTATGAACATGTAATTTTGTAGTAAAATTTTGAACTCGAGACCTCATTAAGTTAGAGCATCTCCAAGAGAACTCTCTGAATTTTAGTTAAATTTTATCGAAAATGGCTAGAAAGCTATTTTAGTCAGTAATTTTTGGGTGATATACTCCAATCATACTCCCTATTTTAAGTAAGCATAGATTATTTTAATATTTATTTAGTTTAAAAATATAAATAACTTTATTGAATTTAGAAAGACCTTTGCATTTATTATGGTTTGAAAGCATAAAATAATACAAAAAATTAAATAGCTATCCTTTTTTTGCTAGCTAAATTTAGCTAGTGCGAAATGGATTCTCTAAAATAACTAACCATTTAGCTAATGGTTGGAGCGGAGAAAAGCTCAATTCTAGCTAAATCATTAAGTCTTTTGGCTAAAAACATGAAATAGGTAGTATGTTTAGAGTTGCTCTTATTTATATGTAGACCAACAATACTTTTTATATATTCAACATAGGCAACATACCATTTTGAATGAATCTTTAACCACATGAAATAAGAACCTATATGTGAGATCAAAGAGATGGGAATGATAAAGCTTAAACCGGATTAGGACGGTACTTAAGTTATCCGTCTCTGTCTTATTTATAATTCATTTGTATTGAACATGCGTAACAGTGTATTGGATTATGAGCTGTTGGACGTGGAGATACCAACAATTACAATCGTTGGCAAACTTATCAAGGCAGGAGTCCCAGTCTTGGTTTACAGGTACATGATGCGTCTTTTTCATTCTTGGCACCATATTGTTTCCATTTATCCATGATAAAACGAGATTTGTTGAATTTGACTAAATCTTTACATTCTGTAGTGGCGACCAAGATTCTGTTATCCCGTTGACTGGAAGTCGGACATTAGTACATGAACTTGCAGAGAAGTTAGCCCTCAACACCACTGTGCCTTACAGGGTCTGGTTTGAGGGGCAGCAGGTGAACTTTCATTGGATATTACTCAAGAACTTGCAAATGTTTCTATTCAACAAGTTCAATATTACAAGTCTTATATGTTTTTTAATTTATTTAAAGGTTGGTGGATGGACTCAAGTTTATGGTAACATGCTTGCCTTTGCCACCATAAGAGGAGCATCCCATGAAGCTCCGTTCTCGCAGCCCGAGAGATCGCTTGTGCTGTTCAAGTCCTTCTTAGAAGGACGACCCTTACCTGAAGAATTCTGACCACGCATGACTTGAATGAATACTCAGATTGAGATTGTAAGTAGTGTTTTATTTCCTTTCGGAGAGATTAAGGATAAGTCCTTCCTTGTCGAAAATTTCATTTGTTTGTTTGTTTTTTCACTTATAGTGAGAGAGTCTTTCTACGCTTATGTGGAAAGCAGATGAATTTTGTAAAGCGATCAAGAGAAAAATGGAAATAGAAAAAAAGTGATTTGTGGTCATCTTCTTTAGTCTTTCACGTAACTGAGATGCATTTTTTTAAGGTTGTATTCTAGAATATGCTTCATATAGTAACAGAATTTAATTGAATTAATATCGCGTTACCGCTCAATAAGACACTGAAATTAGGGGAAAATTTCCGAGCAATAGGTCCAAAACATGATCAACAAGTTCTTAAGGAGGTTTTAGGACAATCAGAAACTACAACAGGAGCTTCAACTTGCATAGTCATGCAACTGAATTTCAATGCAAAAATTGGCTTCGATAACATCACAGCTGTGCTAATGGATTCTCTGGCGGATTGGTCCAATGTTGTGCAGCCATTGTGAGTATCTGAAGATTGTTCCATCTCACCATTTAGCAAAGCAGTTGGTCCTGAAACTTTTGCCGGATGAACAGCTCTCACCCTAATCACCAAAATTGGATCGGGAAGTTTAATTTCTTTTCTTCCGTTAAAATCAGTGTAAGACAAACGAACCCATTTGTAAAACACAAAGCATAAGAAGAATTGCGTGGTAGGGTAAAAAGAAATACAATAATAATACTTTGCAGATTTGAACCGTCGTGATAAAAGTATTTTATAACACTTCAGAGTAGGGCGGTATCGATAGAGTATTTCTTTTGTATCCTAAGCATTTAAAGAGCCAAGAGTAAAAGCAGAACCTGCACTGAATCTTGCAAGAGTACTTGAGGAGGTCGGGGGTATGCTGTGTACGGCCACTGCAAGATTCACAATAAGATAAAGTAAATACAAGATTATATATATATATATATATATATATATTGGAAAGATAAGCCCAACAAAGAAAGAAAGGGACTTTGGGAGAAATTCACCTAAAACTTGGAAGTGACATTTTGATGGATGGCCCCATCCACTTGTCCAAGCTGAATGCAGGAACTGCCATCATCAATCAAAAGCTCGTGAGTTGTGGAGCAGGAAGAATGTTTGACAAACTATAAAACTCAAAAGCATGAAAACTTATACTAAAAAATTGGTGGGATAATATAATGATTCTCATCGACATGCGAGAATTTACACTGTTTTTTAAAATACTAAGATTTATCCATTATGTTCTTTTTAATCACACAACATCCAAATTGATGTAAAATTTAGTCAAATGAAGGAATAATAGTGTCAACCGTGTAGTGGAAAATCAAACAAGGCATTTGTGCCAGCAAAAGAAAGTGGTGCAGCTATATAGTCTATAGAAGAGCTTGTCCCAACAATAGGGATTGTTCATTGCCATTTCACATTTCTTTAATGGGCAAAAGCCATGCTTCCAAAGTGAACAAGCCTATGAGCTTCAACAAGCTTGCCTATGATGAAAGAGAGAGAGAGGCTACGCTATAATCCAAACTAAACTGGACAAATTTGAGAATCCAAAAAAAGCCAGTTGCACAAGAAAAGCGACCGTGTGATTCTCTTTTCTTTCTTTTTCTTTTTTCCTACTACTAGCGACCAGGAAACCCTCGTTAGGTCTCTTCAACAACTAAAAAACTAAAACATCTAATGGTAATGCTATCGACATTTCTGAATAATAACAAAGGTGTCATTTTTTCTCTTTCTTTTTTTTTTCTTAGACTCCAATATATATATATATAT